GCTTTTACTGAATTTAATTTGTTAAAGGCTAGAAAACAAGTGTTTTTGAATTACTAAAAAAATTAAAAATTTTCCCATCCTAGCACTAACCTCTCCTCCTTTGGATTACAAAAGACAGGTATCTTTACCAAAACATTCGTCAGAAATAAGTTTAAAAATATCACTTGTCCAAAGCTTGTTTAAATATTTAAAAAAAAAACAACTAACCTATAATAATAAGTAAAGTTCTGTAAATGGGAAAAAATTATTAATTGGCTTTTCTTTATAAAACTAGAAGTTTACCACTTACTGAAATTGAGTCTTAATCTTATTAGCTAACAATTTGACTTTGGTTTGTTTTTTGGGCAAAGAAAGTAATAGTAAGGGCTTAGGGTATCATTATACAAATGTGTTTTTATAATTTATTCTATAAATAGGGTATTTTACAAGTGGAATATGTTTATTTTTAACAGACCTGGTAATAACAATAAGGTTTATAAGAAACGATTACTTATAGGTTCGAATTATAATTGAAAGCAAAAAATTTAGATTTTGACCAATCAGATTATAGTGATTCCATCTCGTTATTCCTCGATAGTGCAAAAGTTTTGTTATTGACAAGCACCACAATTTTGGGTTCGTTTTTGATACATTTACGGCAAAGATTACGTTTTTACCAATACACTAATAAACGCGCAAAACCGCCCTTGTTATATTTACCATGCCACGCGAAGAATTATTATTGTAATAAAGCTGTTTGTCACAATTAACTTTATTCTTGGCCAAGCTTGCTTATGTAAAACATAATAATAACCAAATTGATGCAAATGATTGTGCAGTATTTTTGACTCAATAATTATAACTGTTTAGCATTTATATTTATAATAATTTTTTTCGTACTTGATAAAACCTTGCGTCTCGTGTTACAAAGAGAATGATAGAGATTATAAAAATAAAACAACAATATTAATATTTATTGCAAATTGTGTCGCATCTTGTGTTGCAAAGAAACGTATATTAAGAATCGTAAAATAAATTTATCAATTTTTTTGTTGAAATAGTGTCGCGTTTTCGCAACCAGTATTATTTTGTTCTGATTTCGAAGTTACATTGCGTGATTATTTGCTAGAAAGTGTCTTCGTACGAAAATCAAATCATTTACAACGACGACGGTAATACTGTTTTAGTTCCTTTGTCCGAGCAGCTGAATGGTATATTGCAAACTATCCTCTACTTAAAAATACACGATTGAAATATCACAAGAACTTTGACACCTATTATGTTCGCATTACGCTCATTATGGTCATGTAGAGATAATAGTACATCGGAGTAGTTCCGTTTTTGATAGATCGGCAACTGCGGCAAAAGTCACGTTTTCACCAGTTCCTGGCCTGGTGTGTATCAAAAAATGAACAAGCTAGCCTTTATCACGTGTCAAAAGTTTGGTTGATCGACGAATAGATCCCACCGTCCTTTTTAATAAAGAAATTGAAATAGCAATTGTATACCATAGAATATCTAAAAACACGCAGAACCACGAGATGGTGAGAGCGAAGATGTTAATAATAAGAGAATGTTCGCGGATCACAAACACATCAATCCCATCATGCTCCACAAATTTAAGTCGGCCTTTCGTCCTTCGTTTGCATTATCCACACCCGTACGCTGCTTAGCGACACAACGTCCAGTCCGTCTAGTGAACAAGACTTTTATTATCACTGGAGCTGCAAGTGGGATTGGAGCTGGGCTTGCTCGTCAAGTCGTTCAAGAGGGGTAAATTGAATTGCTATTGGGAATAGTGTGCTATCATTATTATTACTATAGCATATACTATTTGATTTGTGCAGAGGGAAAGTTGTAGTCGTGGACAAGGATGAGCAAAACGGTCAAAAAGTTACCGATGAGTTGAATTCAAGGTATGATTCACTAGCATTATCGGTTACGGTTTACTATCCATATGTTTATCGTATTTATTCGCGTGGATCAGCACAACGCAACGAGCCGTTTTCCTTCACCTTGATGTGCGCAATACTAAAGATCTGCCGAAAATGTTCGAGATCGGAGATCGGGCATTTGGTCGAGTCGATGTAATTATTATTATGACACTCTCACTATGATTGCTGAAATTATGTCGATTCAACATTTATCATTATTTTTATAATTGTTGTAATTCGTAGGTTCTTTGTAATAACGCTGGAGTTGCTGGGCCAGAAATGCTTGTTCACAGCTTTGGTAGGAATCTTGTTTAAACATGT